GCTGCAGTCACGATGAAGGTTAATGAGATTCAGTATGTCGTTTTGGTGTACCAGTGAGCTATGTGCATTGTGCGGGACAGAATGCAAAAAGGAGAATTATATACGCGCGTATGGGAAAAGATACATTATTTTCTAAAACTCAGGAATATGTCGGTATTCATCACTTGGAATTGTCCAAAAAGTTAGGGACCCACTATCGTACTTCAGATTCAACTGTTCTTGCTTTTGCCATAATTAAAAAAAAAACACAAAAATCTGGACTGGATTTTTAGAAATTCTTAAGCGCGTTATGACATTCTTTCAGACAAAACGTTTAACGAAGACGAAACTGGAATCAATACTGTGGGTTAGTTACATTACACGGGTTGAAGACCCTCGTCCGTACTAACTAAATTATCTACGGCATTGGTAAAAAATTATCAAAGTCCTCGTGTGAGATCGAAGGGACTTCAGCGCATTTTTGTGTGGCAGATCAGTATTCTATTAGCCACTTTTGACTCAACCATGAATAAAAGATCTTGTCGGAGGCTACCACATTTCCTTTTTCGGTGCATACTTATACCACATTTTGGTGGATCTCGCTAAAAACCTTCCACAAGATAGTACTTAATTTTTGGGGGGCACTTCTCATTGCTCGAGCTTCTATTGACGACACGAGAAAGAGAGACAGCCATTCGAGATTTACGAAACGTTAAAACGCGTGACAGAATTCGCAACGGAAGGTAAAAGGTGCCCGAAGTTGACTACCTCTCGAAGACGCGCGCGCGCCTTGCAAAAGGTCGTTAATTTTGCCCCTAGGCCAAAAAACAAAATTCCGCCACGCAGGAGTTGTGCGCGTTTACAACATCTTTCCGTCGACACCAATTTGAAAAGAACCGGACCAAAACTGTAGTAGGAGATAGGAAAAAACTGAAAAACCTTCACGTTAGTATACTACGCTCGAGGACGACGCCCAGATGTAGCCAACCCCACATCATGTAGCCATGTCCCCAAGGTTTACAAATTACACGGCCTTGTAGATACATGTACACCCGTTGCCTTTCTACAAGAGTTCTTCTACGCGCCCACATTTGCTGCCAGCCAGCCGACCAGCCAGCCAGCCAGCCAGCCAAAGTGAGATTAAAAGCTACTTTTTACAAATAAATTTGCAAAAATGCGCTAAAAATTAATTTTACCCCCGGCTAATTCTCTAATAAAATTTAAATTATCCTTACCTTCCAGAATTTTGACTCTATTTCTTTTTTAAATCTGAAATCATAACTCGACGCTCTTGGGTGGCGGCAGATGAATAAATACGAATACCCACATAAATAATTGAATATATTGACAAACTTAAGTCGATCCAATTACATTCTGCGACGAACTTCCCCCTTAGCTCGTGCACGAACGGTATTCTAAATGAGGAAAGCACAATTACTTCAAGTTCATTTAATTGTCGAATAATAATATAATTGTACAATTCAATTATCACACCGTAGACGGTCGGCCGGTTTCTCGGGCGCCACCAAGACTTATCTCTACTCCCCCGAAGTCTTGGGAAAAGGGGCGGTCTTCTCGGATGGGATGGAAAAGCCTCCGGGTATCCTCTAGTGGAGAACGGAATATACCAGGGGTCGGTCAGAGTTCACCACAAAATGGCGGCGGTCACTTCCGGATTATCTAAAACAAAATATGGCCGACGGCCCTGACGGTAAATTTCCTAAAGGGAATAAAGCAATAAAGCACAAATCAATTGGCGGTGTCTAGGGGAAAGAAAAGCGGAAACGGTGGAGAACAAAATATAATGAAGCTTAGCGGAACGGTAGCAAAAGTTACGGTAGTGCAAAAACAGGTAAACTCAAAACGGTAGTGTACGGAAAGGACAACGGATTGACTTACGGTAGCTCAAACGGTAAAACGGTAAAACAAAAGGGTTTCGGTGGATTCGGAATGATACGGTTTCGCAAATTAGAAAAATCAAAAGGCGTACTTACAACTCGAAAGTATGAAGCAGAAAAGATACCTCCCAAATTGAGCGTTTTCCTTTTAAAGGAAACCTATTTTGGTAGAAGTGGAACAGGGAATTTCCAAAACCGGGCGGTGCTCGTACTGAGCGCGGTAGAAAATAATTCGGTTTTTAATTAATTGCGGCTCCTGTGGTTATCTTAAAAATCTGGGACAACTTGCAAACAAATAGAAAAATTACAGCGCCTCTGTGGACACTTCTCTCGACGGTTTTTGACAAGGTTTACTACTGCCCATTAACATGGCATTAATTAACAGCGCTTACCTAATTAAGCGTAATCAAACCTAAGTACTCATCACTCCAATCTGCAACTAGCTCCCTTGGACTTTTTCTTCTCAAACGGCGCTATCGCTTTAACACTCTTATCGCAACATGCAGGCATACGGGCGGGACTGCAAAACTTGTAAACAACTAGATTTGAACTCGTTCTATCCTTGATTTTACTTATTATGGGAATGTAAAACATCTTACAAATAATTAACGGCGCTGAAACCAAAGAATATTAATTGTCCCTCATCTTCGGGAGGACAACATCCTTCGGTGGTTACAAAAATATCGCGGTCTCCTTGCGTAACGAAGCCCAAACCAATCGTTACTATACAGGGTGGTCTTTGTAAACGGCAAACTAAATGCAGAAATTCCGGGTGCTTCGTTACAATTCTCCTTCAAATTTTTTTCTGATTTGAAATGCTGATTTGTTTTCTATAAATAAACCCATAAAGAGCGTCTAAAAAAGCGGCCGAGCACCTCGGTGTGACCCCACGGAGTCATTGGATTTGACCCATTTTCAATAGAATTGTTACATGTGGCATATAAGTTTACTATGCAAAGTTTCAACCGAATGGGTTCAAGCGTTTGGCAGGGATAGAGAAGTATAACCCCACGGGGTCATTGGATTTGACCCATTTTCAATAGGCTTATTGTGTCATATAGGTCAACTGTGCAAAGTTTGAAGTAAATAGGTTCAAGCGTTTGACAGAGACAGAGAGGCGTGGCCCCAAGGGGTCATTGGATTTGACCCATTTTCAATAGGCTTATTACATATGGCATATAGGTCATCTGTGCAAAGTTTGAAGTAAATAGGTTCAAGCGTTTGGCAGAGACAGTGAGGCGTGGTCCCAAGGGGTCATTGGATTTAACCCATTTTCAATAGGCTTATTACATGTGACCTATAGGTCAACTGTGCAAAGTTTGAACCAAATCGGTCCAAGCGTTTGACAGTTATCGTGTTCACGGACGGATAGACGGACAGATGGACACCATCGACTCCCCTATAAAGCTTACATCGCTTTGCTCTGCCGCTTAATAAATACAGAAAATACAACCTCTAATTCGTGACCACGTTTCGTCCTAATTTCTCTCTAATTTATTACGCGCAATAAAGTCCTGGAAATTTTACACCAAATATTCATACACACCTTATACGAGTAGTTAAGGCTAACCAAATTTGAATTCATGCAAAGGAATATTATAAGGGGAAAAAACCTTTCGTATGAAGGTAAACATTACTATACTTCAATGAAATTTGAAAAATTTAAAACTGATAAGTGAATTACAACTGTAAGCAAACGATATAAAATAATTTCTCTCAAAGGACAAAAATAAACTGGGGTTACTACAGATGCCGAAAGAGGTAGCAACATTACAACGTTTTGCTTTATGAGTGCCAGCGGTTGCTTTGTACCCTTATACCTATACCCACGATATAGGATGACTCCTGGATGATAGAAGAAATATTTTCACTTGGATTTAGTATTTGTGCTTCAATCTGTGCGCGTTCTCTATACATTGATTGTATATATATATACAATCCCCTTGATGATAGTGCTGGTTTAAATTAATTTAATTTTTGAGGAAAATGTAGTTAATATTATTTGACTAGGCATATCTACATGTCAAATCTATGTTTCGTTTGGTTAAAAGGTCATGAATTTCTGAGCACCCGGTATAGATTTCCTGAACCGTTGTTTTATAAAATAATAGGTTTATCTAGCTTGCACTGCGAAGGTCAATCTATTTTGGTAAACTCATACACACCACATTTTTTTGAAATCACACGTCAGTGTTGAGTTCCCTTCGAATAGTCGATTCAGTTCGTTTTTGAACACTTCGGGCGTGTGCGGTACAATTAAAAATGCACTTTTCTCTAGTTCAATACTTCTGGTGAAAGATGGTACCTTACTTACTGCTACTTTCTACTTTAACTTATTGCTCTTCCTTTTTCCACAAGAGTGCGAATTGAGTACTAGTGCCCCAAATTACACTTCCAAATTATTATGCACTGTTGGAACAACTCACAATAGAACACTACACCGGTTTAATGTACTTCCGCTTATAAAATTAGTAACAAAAGGTTATTTAAACACACTGTACAACACAATAAATATTAACAACATATTGGCACACGATCAATTACTAACAAATCATATCCTTCAAAAAATAAGGCAGTGTTTTACAGTAGTAAGGATAATGCACGGTAGTCTTTAAAAGAAACTTGGCATTCCTTTGTGTGTTGGAACCTTCCTCACTTTCTTCACTGTTTGGAACATGATGGAGAGTACCCAAAGCTATGTTAGGTTTCATCTTCTTTTCCGACGGGACGTAACTCTCGGCATTGTTGTGATTTTTGAATGGCAGAAACATCGTAGGAGAACCTATGGTATTTTTGTAACTTGGCGAGCGTTTGTAACTTTTTTTCGGTACTTTACATTTCTTAAGGCGTTTCAGCATACCATTTTTGTAAAAGTAACATTTAATCAAATTTGTGTGTGTGTGATGGGCGGAGGACGGAATTTTTTCGTCTGTTAGTAATGGAAACGGTTTACTGCCGATCGTAGGGTTTGGCGGATAATAATGATTCGAGTTAATACTTTCAGCATTTGCAGGTTGTGTAGCGTGAGTCGTACTTGGCCTAGTGTTAATATCAGCGTTAAAATCTGAGAACGAAGGGACCGGATAATCTAATCCTGTATTTTGATAAATTGTGGAGTAAGAATTAGTGTTTGTTAGTTGCGAAGTGTGCGTTGCCGGCGTTGACGCGTACGGTGCAGGTAAACGCGTACGGTGCAGGTAAAACAGACGCCTGATTCTGAAGACCGCTTTCGGATTCTGAAAATGTAGGGGGAGTGTTTTTGAAAATTGTGGAGTAAGAGTTGCTATGTGTAAATTGCGTAGAAGGCGTTGAGACCGGCCAGTCGTTGGGTTTCGGGTAGAAACTCGCGCTGGATGGAAACGTTACGTCAAAATTGTTAATGGGGTTCGCGTATTGCTGGACGGGAGCTGATTCTGCATGTATTGGTTGTGGAGTAGCTTGCGTCAAATCGATAGACTTCACAATGTTATGCTCGGTACCCGACTTGATTCCACTAGGTGCATTTGCTTGGATAGGCGGCGGATTATTAAACGGTACGGTAAAGTCAATTGGAGCAAAGTATTCTGGAGATAAAAAGGGGTTTGTGTGAATTAGTTCACTATACTGGCTGTTATCGTAGTAAGGTTGGCCGCCATGATTATTTACACCCCCTGCGTTCCGAACTTCAGGCGATGGAATGAAAGACCCCATCGATTCAATCACTGTAAATGGAGATTCGGTCTGCTGTCCTTGGAATTGAACATGTAAAGGGTTGTTTGCCCATTGCGCATTAAGTGGATTGGCCTCATGCACATTGCTTTGGTCTGAAGTTGAAAACCCAACATTATTATAAACTGAAGGATATTCTAGCCTTTGTGAAGGTACGAAGTGGTTATTTGTCGCGATTGTTGAAATTTCCACGTTTTCGGGGGCTGCATTCAAATGATGTTCTTGCGACCCAACGTTGGCAAATTTATTTATAGCCTCCTGTATTTCTGCAGAATGACGGGGTTTACACAAACTCAAAAGCATTGAACGTACTTACCGACTTGTTCAGTAATTCCGCACCAAACAAAACCGTATCCGAGGAAAAGCACAAACACGTAACCCTAAAACACAAAGTTTAACCTACGTATTAATAATAAATTAATTGTCTACCGAAATATGACCACCAGTCACCATTATTCACGAAGTTAGTGCTGTTATGCGGACGAATGCCGCACAATTGATAATAAAGTAGCGATGTAGGCTATTGTTTATATATACTTTTTATATAGAGAAAACAGAACTGAGATTTGTATAATCAGTAGGTAAAGGAGAACGCCCCTCTTTTCTAACAGCATTACCGAAAAGATGATAGAGTGATAATTGTACGTTCACTCTTATTATCAGGTACTACTCACTTTTAAATTTCTCAGTAATTAAAATACACATTTTAGCGATTTGAGTTAACCCAAATTATAATTTTATGGGAATATGTTAATAGCAAAAATTGTATTTTTTTTAGCTTCCTAAGTTCTTATTAGGCTGACAAATCTGATGAATCAGTTCAGACGTTCATTTAGAAACCATTCCTTTTACAATTTATTTTTTACACAAAACGAAATTCTTCTGGAGGCGATAAATATTCGAAATCACTTGTCGAATTGATTCGTTTAAAAACCACGCATCAATTTTTATGTTATTAAAATATTTAAAGTTACTAGAGCATATAAAACCCGTAGAGCACCGCTCGCAATGTAGGTTATTACCTACACCTTTTAGCTCANTTTTTTTTAGAAATAGGTATCAATGCAGGAGACGTCAGACAACAACCAAAACGTTTTAATGGAATGATGCTTTTATAGTTGTAGTTTAACGAATTGTGGATAGTAGATATTGTTTATGAAAAGAACGTTTGCGCGTAAAGAAAATTGCGTGATCGTTTATAATTAGGTATTTAATTATTCGCATAATAATAGAAAAATCGCTTTTCGCATAAATAACATTCGTCGTAATGTGAATAGAAATTTATAAAGATAGACAGTAGTGATGTGGAAGCGTAACGACAGAAATATACATTTTGCGCATTTATCATATGATAATAACGGTATTTCAAAGATTATAATTTTTTTTATATGAGCGAAATCTGTGTTTATTGCAAATTACTGACCACATTTAAAATTGAGATTTTAAATTATACAGTGTCCCAGCGTTACTATCGGCACAGTCTATTCTTACACTATGCTATCGGTAGCATTACCCTACAAAAACGTCCATCTGATTAGAGGTTTACATAATAATATATTTAAATGAGCTCCGTTTGTACCATAAGTGGGAAACCGTGTAATGGAAAAGGTAAAATCTAATTTAATGGGAAATTCGATTGTAAATACCTTCTATTTCTTCAATTTTATCGATATTCTTAAAAATACGTGAAATATATTTAAAAAAAAACGAATTGAGCCATTTCTTCAAGTTGCGCTGTTGCTACATTACTATTTGAGAAAGCTCAAAGCAGTCAAACGCGATCAAAGCATCTTCGAACAGTAGGCCGGGAAGCGGTTTCCCCAAACTACTACGGATACATAAAGTGTTTCCTATACGAACATTGAAATTGGGACGTCCTGTACCTACATGAAAAATAGTTGATAGGGGTCTCGATGCGAAAGCTTTAGAGCTTTCTTTTCAAGGTCGCAACCCAGAGCAGACATGTGGGTGGGTGTTTAATAACCCGACTATGTCTATACAACATAACGAATGCCCTGCTAATTTGTTTTTATTTGTCGGTTCACGTTCAAATAATTTGAACGTAGCTGTATACCTACCCTTCTAATAGGGTTTTTGTGTTCTACTTACTAGCTCTCATTCGTACAAATTGTGTGTTTCATGTAAAAGGTCTGGAAGTGTAAGTCAATGGCTTTAATCATGTAATTGACTTGATAAACCCCAGTATTGACAGGAAACTTATAAGCAATAATAAAATGATGTCAAGTACTTATACTGAATTAGTAAAAGGAAAATAGATAGGGTTAATTTTCGCATGTTCGCATAAGTACGACTTATGAGTTAAGATTAATGTGACGTTCTCGCATACGGACAATCAATATTTGTAATACGGGTAAAATAGAATGAGTATTGAAAATAGTTCGAAAAGACTGCAATAAAAAAAGATTTTCTCTTGGTTTTCTTGTCATAGCTAACTTTTCTCCTTTTCTCCTTCTTGAATTATTATTCGTGCAATAAACAGGTTACAATTACGTATTCAAAATTTGAATTTCAACTACTTTTTACTGGAAATCGGAACAGATGTAAAATGTTTGTAAAACATTCCTAATATTAGAAGATATTATTCGCAAAAATATATACAGGTGTAAATTTAGATCAGGATGTGTGAGAAATATTCACGTTTAATTGGTATATAACAAATGTATAATGGCAGGTACGAAAAACTCAATATTGATTGAGGAAATTTTTTAGTTGTTTTTAATTAATTTCAATTTTCCCAGCGGTCAATTGAAGTATAAATAAATTACTACACCAATGTTACAAGTTACGAAATACAACAGTCCATTGTGAAACCTTTATAGTTCGGGAAATTGGTATTTGCCTAAGTGATTTTAGGAGTTTTATGTTCCTGCTGAAGTTGGAATACATCCGCTTTAAATTGGTTCGACAACTAAGGTTTTTCAAACAGAAACCACCTTTTTCTCCCTGTGTAACAACGGATTTTGCACTGAAAATTAATAGAGAAGACTGAGAAGTTTGAAATCCCCCATGTCTAAAGTGGACCGTTTCCGTCTAGAAGGAAAATTATGCCACCGTACTTTAAGCATACCCCACATGAAACGACTTGTTATAAATCTATTCGCATTCGTTTTGATTTTGCCAGTATGGTTGGGGCTTTTAATTCTAGCAACGGAACTGAAGGGATAGTGAATAATGTACAAAACTGAATGATGTTGCCTTTTTACTCAAAGCGTAAAAGTGCAGAATAGCTATGGTTACATGCCGATATGAATGTGAATATCGCCTCCGGTGGCCAAAATTTGTTTACACTTTCATGTTGTGTTGCTCACTGAAAAGATGGCAACCATAAAATAAAAAAATCCTAGAAAATTCCAGAGCGCCAAAGGCGACGTCATGTCTGGAGCATTTCCGTTACACTATTATTAGAGAGAATTAAACAGATCTGATGAGCCCGAACTCTTAACCCATTGTTGTTCTAGTTTTAAGAACCATTTGATTTATACATACAGAAAGTCTAGGAAAAATCAATACTAAGACGAATGCTTTCAAAAATTAACACATTTTTTGGTTCTTACACGACTCGGACGTGGATACTATGATTCACATAAAAAACACGAACTATCTTTGTACCTATAAGGAATTTTTGAACTTTGGTTGAATAAATGGAAAAATTAGCGTACGAGTCGAGATAGTTGACATTTAAATACAACACTCGCTACATATATTAAGGAATCTGCTTGTTATTTACTAAAGAAAAACTACCCTTACAGCGAGTTTCCAGTCCGATTCAGCCCATCTAAATACAAAGAGAATTGTTAGAAAATCTAATTCCTGATTTTTACTATACTATCTGGTCTGTTTCGAAAACTAACCTTTCCATTGTTTCAAAAGTGTCTTCAAGTCCAATTAAAAGCAATAGAATAAAATGCTCTGAAAAAGTAATTATCGCAATCTTTTCAGAGATAATTATTTGCATTTTTTTTTACTGAACTGCAACTGTATTTACTCACTACTGGGTAATGAAATTTTCGTATACTGGGAGGTATTCCATACCCATAAGGGGCAGGCGCATGTGTCAATTTTCGTAGCTTTGGGCGATTAAGTAGGTGCTATGTTGCAGAATTGCTGTAGTCTGACTCGAGTCAATTGTTGTCCAGTTTGGATGAATAGGTAACACATTCAAAAGCCTAATTCCCAATCAAATTCCGTGATCCGTAATTAAATCAACTAACACTTTCTGGTTATGCCAAAATATCCGCTCCTAGCATTATGAGAAAACGTGCCGCACTAGTTGAGCCGAGTTCCCCTTAAATCAATTTGTAAAGGTATCGATTGAGCTTAATTGCTTCTCATTTCTTCTGATGAAATCCTTAAACTTTTTTGGCACCTAATACTGCGACACTTATCAATGTAATGCAGCAAACATCATACTACACGATCTTTTCTTTGAATGCAGTTACTCATATAGTTAGCACACGTTATATTTACAATTATTAGTTACAATATTTCTATGTACATATAATCCAATTACCTACATTACGAAATAATATTACTGGCATACTTACGGTTTATGACAGATATAGTAGAAAGGAACGGCCGTTTCTGCAAAGCAATCTTAAATGTAGTTGAATTTAAGATTTTTGCAACCTTTCTACTTTATCCTCTACTATTCATTTCCTTCGCACTAAATTTTATTAGCACGAGAAATGTTAGCATTCTTAACCTAATGTACTATTTTCCTCTAAGACACTTAATTCTATATGTACAATGTACACTTATAGAAAAGTACAGAGGTGAGACCCTAGCAAATTTGAGGAGCATTTCTTACTAGCAATTTATAGATACAAATTGAGCAGATATACGTCAGTTAGTTTCGGAATGAGTTAAAATTTGCTGATCTAGTGAGGACGTAGTGATGTTCGGGAGCTGGCCTGTACTGGGATTCGTAGTGTGGAAGTTGTGGTGGTAGGGAGTTGTACATCTGCTGATTGCACATGCAGGGACAGGTGGGAACATAGTTGGTACAGGGAGACGGGTTGCAGTTTGGTTGACTAGGAATGTAGTTATTACTCGGTATGACAGGGACGTCGTAGCTTGATGCTTGCGGTTTATACATCCATTGTGACTGCGGGCCTGCAGTTTTCAGTTTAGGAATGACATGCGAGTGCAACGGCACGTAATAGTTAAGCGTATTTAAAGTCATTTCGGGGTATGGCTTTGGACTAGCTGTAGAATAATCATGTTGCGGCACAGCGTGAGGTTTTGCATTACGCACTTCACTAATGGGTGAGTAATTGATTAACACCGGGGGAGGGCCTTCATGTTTGTCCTTTGAAAGGGATGAATCATCTTTACCAAAGGTGTTAGAAAGAGGTGGAGGGTACAGGTATGGAACTTTTGTGTGCGTGGGGGTATGAGTGGAAGTAATATCTTTAGGAGGGTGCGTTGTGCTAGGGGCTTCTGTGGGTTTCTGCGTCTCTGTATCATCTTCGACATGATCCGTTGGAAAATCTTTAGTGATGTTGAACTTATCATCCTCTGGCAGGCCTTCATGTCGCGAAGCTGGAGTATCAGTGTCCGATATCAAATTTAGTTCCTTCAGGACAGTTGCGATATCATGCTCTAAAGTGTTTTCACTCAATTCGTCATGTTTATTGTCATCAAGCTCTGTTTTGGGCTTGGCTACTGGAAAATGCGTTCTTCTTAATATTAAAAGCGAAACTGGAGTACTTACCTGGAGTATCTATGTCGAGAACATTATCTGTCACTGGTTCTGCTTTACCATGGACGGCAAGTAAAACACAGATCTGCAAAAACGGTTTAGTATAAAAAATACTACTAGTGACGCTTACCAACAAGCTCAGCAACCGCATTTCGATACGTTGTTTGGAAAATATTTACTGAACTAACTACGTTAGGCCTATTTATGGTATTATATTTGGAAATAGTGAAAGTTATATGGGGGGTTACCATAACCATCGCGATGTCGTTTCATTTTCATCTTTAAGTGATGATTTAAATTCTTATCATAAATCTTACGAGCACATTTTGAATAATTTAAAGAAATTTTTAAGTCATAATTCACACATGACTGTACCTACTACATACTGTCTCAAAAGAAAGAATTAATGTGTAACACCCTACACTTCAGTCATAAGAACAGTTCTATATTACAATGAGTATAGTAATTCAGCATCAGCATACGGTTTTTCATGAGCTATTCGGTGAAAACACTTATCAATTTAGCATAGGTGAGTGTACGTCGGTACATAAACTATGGTCTCAATGGTCAAGACCTCAAAATCAACGTCTAGTTTACCATTAATTGATGACAACTAGCTACGTCTTAGGTAGTTGAATATTTGAATGGTGAGTACACTTTTCTTGCATATGGAATGTGCTTAAAATATACTCCCATAAAGAATCAAATGCAAACAGTTTCCAGACATTTTTACTTTCTTCAAATAAATAGAACGTGACAATTTTTACATAGGAATGGTTTAAAAATATTTTACTGTTATGTAAATCTTTAAAATAAATGTTCTTATCACAACTTAAAATTCCAACGCATCCAGTGAAAGATGATTTATTATTCATATAGTAGTAATGTAGTTACATAAAACTAAAATGCTTTTTATAGGGTATCTAAGTACTATATTTATTCTGATTACTATGCTGCACAAAACTAATCTTTGAAGGAATACGTGTATTTCAAATTTGTACAATAATGATTACACGAAAACCAAAAAGAATTTCTCGTATCCGTTGAAAGTACATAGGAACATAAATATCCATAAATCGAAATAAAACATATTTGCGTTCAATATTAAACGTATTTGCAGTATCTATGCCAATATATAAGAAAGAACATAACATAAATTGGCGAATACACATCTTAATAGACGTACCCACCGTTGTTACTATACGACTGTCCAGAAGATCCGAACCCATGCGATGACGGTGGTCCGTAAGACGCGCTTGGTGCATTAGGAGACTCGTAACTTGAAGAGGGAGCTGATGGTGGGCCATATTGTGAGGAAGCCGAGGGTGCACCGTAGCTGGAGGATGGCAGAGATAGTGGTAGATAATTAGAGGAGGGCTGAGATGGTGGTCCATAATTAGAGGATGGCGTTGATGGGACTCCGTAATTCGTGGACGTTGGTGGGTTAGGAGGCCCGTAACTTGAAGAGGGAGCTGATGGTGGACCATACTGTGAGGAAACCGAGGGTGCACCGTAGCTGGAGGATGGCAGAGATAGTGGTAAATAATTTGAGGAGGGCAGAGATGGGGGTCCATAATTAGAGGATGGCGTTGATGGGACTCCGTAATTTGTTGATGGTATCGACGGCGTGCCGTATTGGGCGGATGGCGCGGAAGGACTTGGCGGGACTCCGTAGTTGGATTCGGGAAAATGGCCTGATGGTGGTGGTCCGTAACTTGTAATTGAGCTTGTTGGCGCTTTATGAGATTGTGGTGGACTGTAAGAATTTGCAAATCCAAAAGAGGAGAAGCTAGGCGTGCCATACGTTTGGGAAGGTTTGGATGGCGGTCCATACACAGGCGACGGCTTTCGTTTTAACTTCTTAGACTTATGACGAGGAGGACCGTAAACGGGAACTGGTTTTGATGGCGGCCCATACTGTGAAGTAGGTCTCTGATTTGGTACTCCATACGTAGGTGAAAGAGAATTAGGTTGTGAATAACTAAATGAGTTATCGTAAAAAGCGGGAAGATCTAGCCCTTGGTGATGATCATTAAATCCATTGAAAGGTGGTGGACTATAACCAGATGACGGCAGAGGTGCTGAAAATTTCAAATTATTTGGATACGTACATCATTTAAGCACGTTACCTTCGCGTTTTACAATTATTGCGCAAGATCCAATGGATAGCACGTATCCTATTCCCTGAAAACGTGACAGAGGGGTGAGATAGGAATTTCTAAATTGCAAAATGCTACTTACCAATAGCCGTAATAAGCGCATAATGGTATTATAGGAGATACTCTACAACGGGTTAAACCCCGTTACACAATGCTCAACAAAATTTACCAACTATTTATATATGACTTAAAAATATGAGAAAGTTTAAAAATTTAAATTTAAAATGCCTACAAGAGTAGGGTTTATCTAAAGATCTAATTGTTTTGATGTTTAAAGCAACGAAGGATAGGTATATCTAAGCTTTTTGTTACACTAGTTAAGCATCTGGCTGACCAAACTGTCTTTAAATCACAAAATTATACAAATAGGAAACTAAATCTTATTAATTAACCATAATTCATATTTAAACGTTTGTTTTTATGTTACTCTGTTACATTTAAAAAGAAAACGTACGACAAAGACGATATTGAAGTCAATGAATTACATGTTGCATTTCTCACATTATAAACACTTCACAAAGAATAACAGCGACTCAACGTCGAGAGTAAGTAGTGCTGTGTGTCATATTAGTGTGCTTTAATTAATTTAATTAAAAGAGTTTATAACTTCCTATTGTCGTAATCTGGAGCGTTGGGTGTGCCATCCTCTGCAGCTGGTTGACTGCATCTTGCAGTCAGTTCTACTACAATTCATTCCTACTAGTCCAGGAGGCAGCGATATTTGTTATGCACTCATTTCTATATGGCTGCTATTCTGCAATTTTTATTGTTTTGATAGTGCAAGTAAACAAATCGGCAGTCTACCGCGTCGGCGCTCTTGCCTAAATTTGCAACAATGTTCTGAACATGTTAATAAATAATAGGTACATTTACAAGAATGAAAATTTTTACAGTAATTAAGTACACCTAAAACTAAAAATGAAGTATGATAATAGTCTACCAAGCTGGAAGCGTTGCTATCACAAGTCTACCACCCACGCAAGATGCATAAAAAATTATTCAATTGAACTTATTTCTACAAAGATGAAATTTTTGTTTGAAAAATTGGTCCACCGATCGCGTGATGTTGCCAAGGTCTCGGTAGACACGCTGGAAGGTACGATTTCCCAAGCTCAGCTGCTGCACCACTCTGCTAGAGTATACCTCTAAATTATTATATACACGGGCTTAAAATAAAAATCTTTAAAGCTGTTTCGTATGTACCGGGTGAATATTAAAAAATGAACATAGGCAATGAACATGGAAAAAAGTTTTTTTGCAGATCGTTGCTCCCCATATTAACTTAGAGGGTTAAAATGACACCAATCGAAAGAAGATTTTTTACTCATCTAATGATATACGAATTAGTCCATTTGCAGTTGTATTTCTCATTATTTTATAAAAAATTCGTTATTCGTTATTCAATTCGAAATGAATATCAGTTTTAATAATTTTTTTTGTAAAATTTATTCACTGAGGACAGATATTCATTTTTGAATTGAATTTTTGATAGAATAATGATCCTAAGTACCACAGTTCTGTTCCCTGGTTAGAGTAGCGATTGTAGATCGTGCTCTAACAATAAGTTACCTGTTCGGAGTGGCGGTTGTAACACCGCTCTCACTCTCTGTAGTTACCTTCCGCGAATTAAGGATGTCCGGCTGTATAGCCGCGCTATTAATTAAGTTTACCTGTCGCTCAATTACAGTAGAGGTGTCGGTTGTAATACCGCGCTCTTCCCAGATTACCTTACGGGAATTAAGGGTGTCCGGCTGTATAGCCGCGCTCTTAATTAAGTTTACCTGTTTTTTTTTTAAATTTCGGTAGACGCTGCGAATGTACATTCGCGCTCGCCAAGAACAATCACTCCTGTAATATACCCTGGGTAACGTTTTAGTTGGGTTATAACGTAACAACTTACCTAATTTGCTTGATCACGTTCAAAGTTAGTTATGAAAGAAATTGTCTCTGAAACTACCTGCCAGTTTTTATACTGGATGCTAAGAAGGTTAAGTTACAGAGATAAATAAAACTACAAGGCAGGTCAAGGAGCCGTTCTGTCAACGTTTCTAGTTGGGTCGCATTCAGCCATATAATTTAGTTTCTGTACAATTGTAAATAGTAGTAGTATTATTTGTATTTTAGCAAGCTTTAATTAATTAATTAAGTGGTGACCTGGATCTCCGATATAGAGCTACCCAGAACAGCTCCCTGTGTTGCTGAACGTAGGCAATCCAACATACACAGGTTGTCTTGACGAACAGGAGGTGGTGTAGAAGGGAGGTCTTAGAGGTCCTTAGGTTACGAAGAGGCTAGGAGTAGCCTGTAACCACTAGGACCGTGACAAACTCTCCAATTTAGCGTTTGAGGTTTGACGAATAAGAGCTAACCTTTAAAAAGATACAACTTGGTTCTTACTGGACATACAGTAATTATTAAAAACAATTTTCATTGTTTTTTTTTAAAGCTACGATTTTGTTTTCCACAGTTTTTTTTAATTAAATGCATACTTTTAGAGTTTTTTGCGAATAACCAATCAAAACATTGATCTTTTCTAAGGAAAACTCATACTTTCGGTCGCGAAAACTGGAGAAGTATTAACTTTACAAAAAAATGTATAGAACACTTTTCGCTTAGAATTAACTGTTCTATCTATTTCTGTGTTAAAATTGCAATAAAAAATTGCCACCCCCCGAGAAAAGGTGGCAACCACCCCCAGGGTGAAAGCGCCCTTTGGCATGATATAGATTTTGAACATTAGGCTATTCCCTACTTACTGTACAAAGTTCAAGTTAATCGATTCATTTTGAAGACAAGAATATAATGCACACCCATCATTCAACGGTACACATTACCATCTGCCGAATTAATTTTAAATATTTATTGGCTTACCTCTAATTACCCTTAATTACATGTAATTATATTTTGTTCGGCACATTACACCTTGCAATTTTAGTTGCCATTAATTAAATAAACAACGTTATAGTTACATGAACTTTGGTTATACCAAAAAGTAAATTATTAAGTATTCTTTGGTTATACTTACATTACTCAACCGATGTAAAAAAAAAAACAATAATATTCCATATTTATACTTACTACTTGTGAGAATTGCAAAATTATAAACAAGGTTGTCAGGCATGGTACATGGTATTCAAAGTACTTTGTTGGTTATTTTGTTCCGTACGCTTGGTTTGTTTGTTGTCCCTTTCCTTTCTTTTGTCCTTTTGCTTTCTGTCCTTTCATTTTTTGTCCTTTCATTTTCTGTCCTTTTGACTTCATCTTTTTGCATTTCTGCTTCTTTTTCCCTGGAACATTGGTGAAAGGTATTTCTAGTTAACGCACAACTGGAAACTATAGTAATATTAATGTGCGGTAAACTAATGCATTGTGCAGTTTCTCTAATGAAAGGTTTAGCATGGGCGCAAATCTTGGGTAGGGGTAGGTTAATTTATATTATTTTGTCTTCAGAACATAAGATCACTATACAAATCTAATTAACCTTTAGGGCCAGTATAATGACTAATTTCATGTGAAAAATATTGAATTACAATAGTAATAAATCTCATGGTTCAAAAATAATGTATTAAGAAACTACTTACATATTTACAAATGATCTTTTGAACATGAAGAAATTTGTATACTTTATACCTAATATGTATTTACCTATACTGCATTCATTATAAGAAGGTAGTAGACGGCGCTGTGTTTGAAGATCGACACACACAGGAAAAATATAAAACGGCACAAAATTTGAAAAATATACATAGGTATAAATCAAACGATATCACGCTTGGATTTTTGAAATTGACAGCTAATGACAATTCAACAGTTTAGTTCGTAATTGAAACTTCTAACAGACAGAATTCGTCACTCGTTTTATTTTTCAGGGTAATACTGACTCGTGTTTTAACCAATCACAGTGAAGGTCAACCTGTCTCTATGCTTTCTACCGCTACCTTCTTAAAATGAATAGCGTATAAAGCAATACTTGTCTCATATAGGTACCGTGAAAACCTTTTCTTTAACATTTTTGTCTTTAATTGCTGGTTTACAGATGAAAATTAATGATATGCAGCTCTGAAATTATTACACAGAAAGACAAGATCGTTACATGAGTAATTCACTAGTGACTTTATTTCGAGAGAAAACTTTGCAATAATTGCGCTAGCCTATTTTTGAATAATTGTAGAAAAAAACGAATATGTAAATGAATGATCCGTCCACGTAGATCATCTGAGAATAGAGTCTAATATTTTTTTTGTCTCCTTTGACCAAGGTTCAACTGGTTCAACTGCAAAGGACACAAAAATGGTTAATTATTATTGCCAAAAGGAGCTTCTTCTATTGTGAAGTATTCTCACAATCGAAATTATGACAAACTTTCTTTGCAAGAAATGCCTTTGAATATTGTGCTGGTCATATATTTTTGTATTTAAAGAAGGATGAAGAAGCGTGAAAAACAACTTTTAAGATTTATCTCTATACACTCCATCAGATTTTGTGGAAGAAAATGAAATCAGTAAGGAGTGTCAAATCTAACCTATTTCAGATTTTCTTTGGTGTGCAAAAGAAGAACCAATAAATCTTACTAGTTTAATCATGTATAATAATCATTAAGTATCAACATAAATTATTACTATCAACAGTACAGCAAAGTGTACAGTAGGTACAGCTAAACTAATACACCATCGAAATTAGTTACATAAAAAAACTCTTTTAATACTTATAGCCTCCATTGCTATCGTAGCTTTGAGGAATAGTTTCAGGAACAGAACTTGGCCCACTACCACCACCACCTCCATTACCGCCACCGCCCGCATTACCGTTTGAGCTAGGATACCCACCACTTGAGCATCCACTACCTCCGGAAGGCGGGGGACCGTAGGAAGATGGTGGCTGCGATGGGACGTCGTAGCTTGGGACAGGTGGTCCCATGGGTGCATCGTATGAGGACGATGGTGGACCGTAATTACTCGAGGGTGCGTTTTGCGATGGAGGTGCGCCGTAGCTATCCGACGGCGGTTGACTTGGAGCTCCGTAAGACTGAGAGGGTGGCGCACCGCCACCTCCACCTCCGCCATTTCCACGTCCGCCGCCGCTAGACGGTGCGCCATATTGGGAAGAAGGCAAGTTTGGGACCCCGTAGCTTGTTGCTGGTGGAGAATATCCACCTCCGCTGGATGCAGGAGCTACAAAGATAATTAGATTATATATTTCAGTGGGAAAATCAGACACTTACCTTCCCTTTTTATGATGTTGCCGAGACAAACAGCCGTGAGACAAACGAGAATTAATACACTCTGGAAAAAATGCAATTTCAAAAAACTAAAATATTTTTTATAGGGATAGGAATACCGAATTATCCATTTGAAGATGTGAACACCCAAATGATAACTAAAACGATAGTGAATTAGCCATCAGACATTCAGATATATTTATACCCTACTGAAAACAAGAGCCAGAGAAAGTGTTCTAGAGGGTTATAAAAGAAAAACTGTACTTATGTATATTATTCTTGTAAAAACAGTAATTTTCTTCGTATTGTTCATTAATGACATAAAGGTTAGTCATGACTGGTTTCTATTTTTAATGTTACATAGGTATGTAGTTTAATTATTATTATACATGAGCTTGGGTGTTATTACGTTTGCAATCTGCGTGAACTGGATGTAAGGAAACACCGTAGGCATCAGCTTCTCTCCAATGTTCTACGTCTTGCATCTCCCACATTAATTTTGTGTTATACAATAACTACCTACCTGCACAGTGTAACTACGACACATGCAAGGTTTTTACTTCAAACTGCCATACATAAAATGTCATATTATTATGCGTATATAATTTCCTTTACACAGTTCGAATCGATCCAGCATTTAGTAAATTCTATGCTGATTCAACGACATCCCTACTCGACCGACAGTATACTACTGTGTACTATGATTAATAAAATATATTATACAAGCGAAAAAAGTATTAGATTTTCGTGGTTGTGTTGTCTCCCGACGCAAAGCGTAATAAATAAATAAAGTTTCTTATAAAAAATAAAGTTTTGTGATTTGATTTAAAAATCGCGAATTTAATGATTGTTTAGAAGTTATTTTGAATGATATAGGTAAAAAATATCTGATTCCACTTCAGCATTGAATAAAAAGTAATATTCAATGACCTCAGTTAGTAGTAGCAGTGATAATAGCTTAAAAAAATTATAGCCAGCTAAGTCCAGGAAAATTTAGGAAACATGCAGTTCATTCTCAGAGACCGTGTTATTGGCTTATTTTTCGGAACTGGCACCACAACACAAAAGCTACAGTGAGTCCGAATTATTGAATGATTAAGAGTATGTTACAGTTTAATAATAATTAGGCACTTTAATCTAATTACATTTATGTTACAAAATGGGAAAGAGAGTTTCTATTTTTTTGTGACGGGAAAAACGCATGACAATCTGCTGACATGTACCAAAATGTCACTTTTTATGAAATGACTTATTTTTTATTATTAATTATTTACTTATACATAAAGGTAGATACCTATTTAATTTTAGAACATCTTATTTTACAAAGTTATTTGGCGGTCAGGTTCTTTTTATTTAAATAATAATATTCGCCTTCCACATTAAAACTTGAGGTTATGAGCTGTCTCAGCACATGGTGAGTTGGTTGGTTTTTGGTATGCAACTTGCAGAAAATCGTTTGTAAGTCATAATTTGAATAAATCACTATAAATCAGTCAAATGGCAGATGACGAAAGATTTGTGTTCCGGCAATTCGAGGGACTTGAATGTAGTAATTGGTATTTCCGACTACAAGTAGCGCTAGAGAACAAAGACATTGAAAAATGGATGGAAACAGATGCAGCCAATTATGTGATCATCGTTAAGGATGCTGCATGTCGTTTGCAAATAACTTGCCGTGTCGCGAATTTACATTTAGAGTAATTGAAGGATGTAACGAGTGGTTTTATTTCGCGCCAAATTTCATTAAAAAATTCTTGTCATGATACTGAAGGTCACCCTGTATATTTCATTATTTGTTTCGGTTAGAAATTTTGTGTTTGGGCATTTCGGTTCGCTCAAGACTATGGTCCGATAGATTTAATTTCGCTCAGATTTAATTTCGTCGTGGGAAGAGTGCAAAGTTGATTGACGTCATCATGAGTAATGCGAGTTTTTCGTCGTTCGTTTATCACCCAAGGCGCCGTCTAGACCGAGAATAGGAGCGGATATAGCACCAAGCCATCCAGAGATAAGGGGTTTTAAATTCGTCAGCAGAAAACCGTGAGATCAGTTTATTCAGCAGTTCCTGGAGGTTGACGACGAAGTTAGAGTGAGTTAAGTCTTCTTTATCTAAACCAATGGGAGAATTTCTAGCGGGAGCCATTTTTGTTTTATGGTAATTTGGGTGTGGTTTTTTCATTTCAATTCTGAAGAAGGGGATCGTTTTTGAGAGACTCGCGGTTAGTACGTCAAGCGGTCAACACGTACCTTGAGCGATCGTTTTGGTACACCTAGCGGTTTGAGCCACCGGTTTATTTCGGTTGCTCGCAGTTGCGTGCTTTTTGCACCCGTTTCGAAGTGTTATTTTCTTTTCGCGTTGATTTTTTGGCGACTAACACCCAGGTTCCGATCAGGTGATATTTTGGCGAACCCTTGAGCTTCACCCCAGTTTACTTTGGATGCAGTGAATCGCGTTAGGATACGTTGTGATTTCTCGAGGATATATAATTCAAAGTGCTGCCCTAGTCCTCAAGGCGCCGATATTCGGGATCCGCCCCAGGTGGAATTTCCTACTAGTGCCGTACGGTCATTTGTCGAAGGAGCGCTGCGTTTTGGAGAGATATTTGCCCCAAGAAGAGCTGGTGAAATAATAAGTCGAACCACCCAAGAACAAATCGCGGTTTACCGTCGGATAGTGATCATAAAAATTTGTGTTTTGCCGTGCCGCTAACTCAAAAATCCGTCTCCCGCAGGCGATCAAAGTTAATAAACTCTAAGAGCCGGTGGAAGGAAATAGTAGGGGTCACTGGTTAAATTAAATACACCACTGTGTAGAAACTTTGTCAACTAGCCGTCTCCCACTCGCCACGCGAAGGATTTCCTGGACTAAGCTTCAGTTCAAACACTAAACTTTGCTTTCGTTCCGAGGAAGGATAGGCACCGTGGATTTTGTTTCCGTGTGTTAATTTCAAGCCACCCCCTAGGAAGTCACAGAGACCTAAGTGTCAGGTTTCATCACATCCACCCTGTACCAGAGGAAAGAGCAGTTCACAAGATCGGCTGTACAAATGTTGTAAAGGTTAGTCTAATTAAATTTGTAACGTTCTGTAAAACCCCACTTTTTGGTAATGAAGCTATAGTAAAAAATTTTGATTTGATTGTTTATTAAAGTCCAATGAACGATTACCAAAGAGTAGGATAAATTTTTGTGTTTATTTAAATAAGTCCCAGCCCACGCTGGAGTAAAAAAACGATTACCTGTTGTTGAAATTTTCAAACTGTAGAGGATGGCCACCCCTTGAGTAAATTAGTCTCACCTGGTAGGATTTTTTATTTAGTTTAGTTGTCATTGTTAAGCTAGTGTTTTTACAAGGAGGAGAGAAGAACTGCTAGATCCCTGTAATTTGTTTGTATCTCTAATATCATTTCAATATATTATCTATTTGGTTTCAATGTGCCTATGTCTTTAACGAAGAACGAGGGGAAGGAAAGGGAGGAGTAGGAGTTGAGGCAGGAGACTGGTAGGCGGCAGGTTAAGGTTTGTTACACAGTTTCAAAAGAGTTAAAAGCCCACCGATTTGAGTTAGCCGGAGCATTTATTTTTATCGATTGAGCAGCCTGAGAAGAAGACGGTTTTCCTTGCCGGGCGGAACCGATGGTAATTTTCAAGTCCAGAAGGAACCCCCGTAGCAAGGAACGGAAAACAGCATTTGAAATGTTATAATCGCTTCGTAAAACGTTTGAAAGGACCAGTAGGTACCTATAGCAAGAGAAATAAGTGCACCAAAGCGAATGTTATTACTACCACTACGTAATCTAACTGAATTACTGAACATTTCTTGAACTTCAACAAATTAGTGCGATAATGAAAAGCACGCGGAGGAGAAAAGGATATGAGAAATTTAATTTTTGGCTTTGTCGAGGGAATAATATAGTGGTCACTGCTCTCGCGACGCTAGGTATTAAAACCTTTTATCAATGGAGATCGTTCCTGTCGTCGTCTGATGAAGAAAGTAAATGATGCAGGTTGGATGCTGGTCAAAGTGGAAATTCAAATAGTATTGCCATGTGTAGTGGTGTAGTACCAAAGTTACTCCAGAAGAAGAACGGTAAAACAAGTGGAATGAACATTGGGAATTTGAAGAAAGTGAAATCGAATTTGGCAATTGGCGAAAATGAAGTAGATGATGTGGCGAGTGTTGAATGTTTTCGGATCCGATAATACTTACAGTACTTTGACTGATCACTTACAGAAAATCAAACTTAAAGCATTGAATTTATAAGTTATAAATTCAATGCTTAAAGCGCACCAAAGTGTGGGTAAAGAAATAATCGCCTTATGATACTAATTAACGAATTATTTTATACACATAGATCGCTTAAGGTTTATTAACACAAATGGTAATCCAAACTTGGCCATGTGAAATTGAAAACCATGTTATGGCTTTACTAATTACTTTGAACGGAACGGTGAGAGGAAATTGCAAAGCCGCCCTTTATTAATTAATATCGCAAATCTATAACACAGCAGGTAGGGCACATAAAATTTCCTGAGGTGGTTATTTCGCTGGACTGAAGCATGGCATTATATAAAAAAATGTAAAAGAATGAAGGCAAGGGAAATGCCTTACAACAACATCTCCGTATAACGGAAATAATTTAGTGTAGTGAACACATACCCCATTGTGAACAAATTGCCACCCATTTTAGAAATACCACTTTAACTTCTATACATAGCTACATAAAGAATAATCTAACTTCACGTGTACCCCAAGTTTTCCTTTATTAATTAATCTATTGAGAGCAACAACAACGAAACTGTTTCGTGTTCTACCTACGCTTACAGCAATCCTCCATTCTGAATGGAATATTGTGTAGGGGTATAACGCGATATGGAAAGAAAAACAAGGAGTGATTGAGCAGCAACATAACTAGATTTTCAGACATTGACACGAAAAAATCCAATATTTGGTCTTGCACTGTCATCGGTCCGACAGGTCCATGTCTCTGACACGGCACTATTTTTGAGTTGAAACTTTCACATAAATTAGTAACTAATTAGTAACAAAATATCAGAATTCGTATCCATCAGGATTACGAGCTACTTATAGCGTATTCGATTCTGCAATATGGCGTCTCGAACATGTAGAAATATAAAATCTCAAATTGGAGCTTTTTTATTCCTTAAAAATCAATACTTCTTAGGAGTAAAGTAAAAAAAAAAAACG